GGAAACTAGTTACCCAACGTCTGCTTTAGGTTTATTTACAATTTGGTTGGCTTCCAATATTTTTCTCCACTATTTACATGTCATTCATTATTTGTATTTTTCTTTAATCAGCTATTTCATTGTTACGTTAACTTTTATATTGTGACTATTTATGCTATTGCATGTATCCTTGTATTTTAGTTGTTTTAGTGATGACTCCTTCTTGGATGCCTTACGTTGTCTTACCACATAAGGTTAACGCTCATGTAATCAAATCAATCAAAAATCTCTTTTGGCGGAGTCTTAACAGGTAGAAAATAGAAAACAATCCGAAGAAAATCTCACAGTGTGATGACGTGTGCGTCGTATGTGGTAAACTGAAAGCGGACGGTTTCACGAGCTCTTCGTTGATGTCTTTTGGCGGTGTCGGTGGGCGTGGATGAATGTCGAAACCGCTCCTGAAACTAAGAGCGAATGACGTCACTGCTTTCATACTTCAAAACTCTCCAAGTAAAGTACAGGTATAACCTCCCACGGTTTGAGAAAAGAGAGAAAGGCTATATTCAAAGTTTGAAAATGCTTGTCGCAACATTGATAGTGAGTTATAGAAGCCCTGCTGTGGGTGTGGGTAGGACCAGGGTAAGCCACGGCGGAGAATTCTGCGACGGAGGTAGTTTTCGCTACGTGGGAGGAAGGGGTCGTATTTGTTATTTCTTAGGTTGAAGCCAAAGGTTGAATATTTGGGCAGCGGGATTGAAATGCGGGAACATTAGAAATACAAACAAAGCGATTCGGAAAGCTCTCCACCTCATCAATGATTTTCAGATTGAGGGAAAATACACAATGTTCTAAACCTCCCCAGCTAACACTGCTCTCACTCGATTCCTAGGAAAGGCTTCAAGATTTAAACAGTTACCGGCAGTTACAAAACGGCTCCTCACAGAAAATACACAATTCGCAATTTGTTCACAAGAATGCTGGGTTGTGAACAAAACTTTCGCCCCAGGCGGGACTAGAACCCGCACCTCTCGCTTTCCGGGCAAGTGCGCTACCAGTTACGCTACCGGGGCACCATTTCATTCCAACTCAGCTTTTCATGGTATACGTACCATAGCTTTCAGCACTCACACGTCTAACGTGTTGAGCCGGTTAGCCGATATCGGCAGTGAACCGAAAGGATGAAAGCTCTAACAGATGTTACTTTTGATGCCAAAACTGATAATTTGAATCTCAAATATCGGGCAATTCGGCTGTCTCCATTTCGTACTCGAGAAACCGAGAAAGAACAATCACTGAGGGCTGTCTCCTATACGTAACATCGTTAGGTGTACGAAGAGAATACCTCGAATTTCCAATCAAAAGTTAGATGCGTGGCGCATTCTACAGGGATTGATCAACATCTACACTCACATCTCCCACTTGCACAAGAGCCGATAGCCGATATCGGCAGTAAGCCAAAGGTTAAAAGCTCCACCAGATATTAATTTCAACTTGTTTTGTTTGTTAACTGCTGTTTTAACGCCGCAGTTCGCGTTGCGAATGTTTCACAAGAATGCTGGGTTGTGAACAAAACTTTCGCCCCAGGCGGGACTAGAACCCGCACCTCTCGCTTTCCGGGCAAGTGCGCTACCAGTTACGCTACCGGGGCACCATTTCATTCCAACTCAGCTTTTCATGGTATACAGAATAACAATCAAAATAAGGAGTCTCACTCAAATTATCCACTTGGGTAAAACTCACTGGATAGGCGAAATCTCTGGTTGCTCAACTTCAACAATATCATCATGGGTGGCTGGAGTTGGAAGTGTCTGAAAGAAGACTTTCCAAAAAAAAGGCCGCTTTTGAAAATAGACCTTATTTAATACAAAAGCTAGCAAATCTTCTCCTCCAGTAAGTGAAAGGTAGCTCCATTTTACTGTGGTAGGCTTATAGTTAGATTAAAATGCGGTAAAAGTAGCAAGTGGAATCAAGCTCTGCTCACCTCAGGTACCTCGGGTATCGTAAGTGGCCCACGACGATTGAACGTCGACTCGTCCGCATCCGGTGTTTGACTGCGGAAATCCGGTTCATCTGAATCGGAATCCTCATCGTAATGGTGGCGATATCCTGAAGGTTCAACAATATGTACAGTGGAGCTGTTCAGCAGTACTTTTACCTGTCTCGTGACCCCGAAAGATGGAACCAGCAGGCTGTCTTCAGATGATCAGCTCCACGGCACATCTCATCCATCAACACCACAACATTTATAATGTTTGATAAGGGTGCTTACGGTCGTCCTTGTGCTCGTGTTCCTCTTTAGGCGGATGATCCTCTTTGTGGTGATGTTCCTCTTTGTGCTCGGGTTTATATTCATCAGTTTCCTGCATTCGGTGCAGGACCTCGTCAACATCACCGTGCACTTCCGCTACCTGATCTTCAATGAGCTTGTCCAATGAGACTCCTCCGCGCCCAACGGGTTCGAATGGCGCATCTGGAAACCTCATACACTTCCTTTAGTTGCTCCACAAATGCAGTCACAGTGTGGTGATTTGCTATTTTTACCGTAACAGAAAGGTGGTGATT